ATACCCAGCTCCTTCACAGCACCTGCCACTGCTCGGGGGCCCTGGGCTGGATGGGAAGTTGTGGGGCCTTGCCAGTAACTCAGGGGGCCTTGCCCCGATATGCCCCACTGTAGCTACGAGCCTGCAGAAGGGGTTATTGATTCTGCCCCATTTATTAAGGGGGGGAAAGGCATTGAAGTGCTCTTAGCTGCGACTGAATAGGCCAAAAACTCAGCCTCCTTAGCAGTGGAAAAATTGTACTTCCATATCCCCCCCCCCCCAGTATTTTTTGCAGGCTTCCCTGCGGTGGGTGGTGCATGTTAGAGATACAGTCAGAGTATGCTCTTATTGGCCGGGGAGTGGTACTGAGCCCATAAATGATGACTTCCCTTGCGTCTGTACATGGGTTGGTGGTTAGCCGTTGAACATAAAAGTTACCTCTCAGGAAACACAGCAGAAAGTAAACGGCAAGATAAAAAGAGATTTTTTGCATGGGAAACTGGGTTGTGGTGATCTGGCTTCTGGGCTTAGGTTTATGTGTCGAATGCGTCTCCGTTCCACCCTGAGGAAGCCGAGGTGTGATGCGTGGATGATTAATTAACAGAGAGGGGTTGTGGTTCAGTGGCCCACCGCTTGGCGTGCAGAAGGTCCCAGGTTCAGTCCCCGGCATCTTTAGTTAAAGGACCAGGCAGGAGGTGATGTGAAAGTCCTCTGCCTGAGACCCTGGACAGCTGCTGCCTGTTTGAGTAGAGAATCCTGATTTTGGTGGTCCAAGCGTCTGATTCAGTATAAGGCAGCTGCATGTGAGTTTTAATACCAGTAACACGTTGAAATTGTTTGAAGTCTCAATACGTTTGCGTCCGTATACAAGCCACTTTACATTGGATCGCCGAGGTTTCAGCTCACTTAATACCACTGTTAAAGAAATTACACACACAGGACAATTGTGTTTATCTTGGTTTGGAAAAGTAGCAGTAGGGAGCAGTGTTCCCTCTAAGCTGAGTTAGTGTGAGCTAGCTCACAGTTTTTTAGCCTCCGGCACACACATTCTTGTCTCAGCTCAGGAAGGATGGCTCCAGAGCAAAGTAGTTTATGCAGCCGCCAAATCGCTCGCTCACAACTTTAATGCTGGTAGCTCACAAAGTAGAATTTTTTGCTCACAAGACTCCACAGCTTAGAGGGAGCATTGGTAGGGAGACCGAGTGTAGCTCTCCGCCTTCCCCCCCTTGTTCTGTGCTCTTCTGGCAGAGAAAGTGCTAAAAATAACTCTAGACAAGGATATGTAGTAGGAGGAAGTTGAAGAACTTATGGCTAACCAAAAAATAAATAAATAAATTCACATATATTCAGTTCAGAGGTTTAACTTCAGCTTCTGTTAGCGCCAAGAACTTATGGTGTCAAAGAACTTATAGTGTCGAAGAACTTATGGCTAACCAATAAATAAATAAATAAATTCACATATATTCAGTTCAGAGGTCGTAGACTTCAGCTTCTGTTAGGGCCAAGAACTTATGGTGTCGAAGAACTTATAGTGTCGAAGAACTTATGGCTAACCAAAAAATAAATAAATAAATTCACATATATTCAGTTCAGATGTTTAACTTCAGCTTCTGTTAGCGCCAAGAACTTATGGTGTCAAAGAACTTATAGTGTCGAAGAACTTATGGCTAACCAAAAAATAAATAAATAAATTCACATATATTCGGTTCAGAGGTCGTAGACTTCAGCTTCTGTTAGTGCCAAGAACCTATGGTGTCGAAGAACTTATGGCTAACCAAAAAATAAATAAATAAATTCACATATATTTGGTTCAGAGGTTGTAGACTTCAGCTTCTGTTAGCGCCAAGAACTTATGGTGTCAAAGAACTTATAGTGTCGAAGAACTTATGGCTAACCAAAAAATAAATAAATAAATTCACATATATTCAGTTCAGAGGTCGTAGACTTCAGCTTCTGTTAGTGCCAAGAACTTATGGTGTCGAAGAACCTATGGTGTCGAAGAACTTATGGCTAACCAAAAAATAAATAAATAAATTCACATATATTCGGTTCAGAGGTCGTAGACTTCAGCTTCTGTTAGTGCCAAGAACCTATGGTGTCGAAGAACTTATGGCTAACCAAAAAATAAATAAATAAATTCACATATATTCGGTTCAGAGGTCGTAGACTTCAGCTTCTGTTAGTGCCAAGAACCTATGGTGTCGAAGAACTTATGGCTAACCAAAAAATAAATAAATAAATTCACATATATTCGGTTCAGAGGTCGTAGACTTCAGCTTCTGTTAGTGCCAAGAACCTATGGTGTCGAAGAACTTATGGCTAACCAAAAAATAAATAAATAAATTCACATATATTCGGTTCAGAGGTCGTAGACTTCAGCTTCTGTTAGTGCCGAGTTCTGACGTTTATTTTGGTATGCTCAGCTGAGCTCTGAGGCTAAGTATTTCTTAGGTGTGTGAATCCTAGATTTGGCTAACTTCCTGGCCATGGAACGACAATGTTCCAGGTCTGCCTTCAGATTCACTAACCAGGCTGTATTCCAAGGTTCTTCCATCCGTGAAGGTCTGGTTGCGGACTGACCTGAAGTCCTGGATTACAAGGGACCTTGGACTTAGCTCTGGTGCGCCGCTTCTTGCTCATCTCCCCTTCTGTCTCCCTACTCCAGTCGGGCTTCTAGATCTTTTTGAGTTCAGTGTCTTTTTGAGTTCCTTCTCCTGGCATGTGATTGATTCATCTGCTCTTGAGGACAAAAGGAAATACTCCTTTGCACAGAGAGTGGTTAAAATGTGGGATTCGCTGCCAGAGGATGTCGTGATGGCCGCAGGAATAAACAGCTTTTAAAGGGGATTAGATAGATTCATAGAGGGTAAATGTGTCAATGGCTGCTAGCTCTGGTGGCTGAGGGGAACCTCCCCATTCAGAGGCACTGAGCCTCTGAATCCCAGAGCCAGGAGGCAACATCGGGGGAAGGCCTCGGCCTCTGTGCCCTGTTGTTGGCCCTCCAGAGGAACTGGTTGGCCCCGTGTGAGACAGGATGCTGGACTGGATGGACCACTGGGCTGACCCAGCAGGGCTCTTCTTATATTCTTTTGAAGGCCTCGGCCTCTGTGCCCTGTTGTTGGCCATTCAGAGGAACTGGTTGGCCACTGTGTGAGACAGGATGCTGGACTGGATGGACCACTGGTCTGAAGCAGCAGGGCTCTTCTTATATTCTTTTGAAGGACTCGGCCTCTGTGCCCTGTTGTTGGCCATTCAGAGGAACTGGTTGGCCTCTGTGTGAGACAGGATGCTGGACTAAATGGTCTGATCCAGCAGAGCTCTTTTTGTGTTTTTATGATGATGCCGAGTGCGTGCGGACTGTGATCTAAGCCTCTTAGTCTTTCCCAGAGTCATTTTGAAGAATCTGATTCTATCAAGGCTCACCTGGGCTCCATTGTGCGGCAATATATCATGAGCAGTCCAGACCAATGCTCCCTCTAAGCTGTGGAGTCTTGTGAGCAGAAATTCTACTTTGTGAGCTGCTGGTATTAAAGTTGTGAGCAAGTGATTTGACTGCTGCATAAATTAGTTTGCTCCGGAGAGCCCATCCTTGCTGAGCTAAGGCAAAAATGTGTGAGCCGGAGGCTAAAAAACTGTGTGCTGGCTCACACTCAGCCTAGAGGGAACAGTGGTCCAGACTACCCCAGTAATTCTGTGGTCTATTTGTCTTATGCTGGGGAGCAGGAAGTTATCAACATAGAAGTATTCATCAGCTTTTCCTAAGAGCCAGCAGATGCGCTCAGAATTCCCCTGTCTCTGTGCTGTCCCTTAATGAAAGACAATTTAGCAGGCGCAGCTAATAGTATTAAACAATGAAAGCATTTAATGATATAAAATGACGAATCTGTACAAGAGTTCGATTCGAGTCCAGTGTTACTTTAGAGAGCAGCAAGATTTGAGGGTTTATAAGCTTTCAAGAGTCAAAGCTTCCTTCATCAGATATCAGAGCTTTGATTCTTTTTGTGTGTGTGTGTGTGTATTTTTTGTATGTGCGTGTGTGTGTGTGCGTGCGCACCTGGAAGTCATAGCGACCTCTGGTGGTGGCTGACCCCTACTGGGGGCCTGGAGGATATTCAGAGAGGTGGCTGAATGAAGCCTGCCCCCACCTCCCACTTCTGGTACTCCTTGAAGGACTCCCATCCAAGTACTTGCCAGAGTCGACCCTGCTTAGCTTCCAAGATCTGATGAGATGGGGTTTTCCTGGGCTATCCAGGTCAGGGCCAGTGATTTGACTCTTGAAAGCTTATAACCTCTCTAATCTTGTTCTAAGGCACTAGGCTCAAATCTAGCTCATCTGCTGCAGACCAGCATAGCTGTCTTCCTGAAACTGGTTTGTATGAAACAGCAATGTTCCTAAAATGGTTAATTTTTAAACAGTCCAAGCCTAGGTTTTCAGTGATGCCTTCCAGTTTTGTGTAGGGGATGGGCGGCGGCTGGTGGGAGAGAGAATTTTACCAAGTATTGTATTTGTTTTTGTATCGATGTGCACCGCCCGGAGCCCTGTCCCGCAGGTAAGGGTGGTTTAAAAATCGAATTGGACAAATAAAAAAGTCTCTACAGTAGAACCGAGGACTGTGACCTTTGATAAAAGTGGTGTCAATCCCTTGTTTTAAGAGGAACACTACAGAAAGTGTCTGACACAACTTCCTGGCTGCGTGTGCGCGTGTGCCTGTAAAAATCACAGCAAATTCTGTGTAAAAACGGAGTTCAGACTCTTGCAAACAAAAACAAAAAAAGCATTTTTGAGCAGTGCATAGAAATGGGGGGAAACTCCCACAAGTCAGACTCTTGGTGAATGGTTTTAGTTTCATTTCCTGTGGGCATTCCTATGACATTACGTAAGAGAATTTTGCTGTTAATGAGATATTCCCTCATTCAGTCTAAACCCTTTTGTGGTAAAGAGAAGGGTGTTCTGTTTCCAGAACGTACGTGATTTTGCTCAGCAACCTTGGTCTAAGGACTCAGTTTGATGTCATCTCTAGGGCAGCGCTAGTGACGAACGTGTGCCGGCTTTGATCCTCTGTAATGCAACTCATCTGTGTCCGGCTCTGTAAATGTATTTCTCCGTATAACTCCTTGGGTATTTTGACTGAAGCAAGAATAAAGCCCACCTGCTGAAGATCAAGGACGGAGAACCTCATGACGTGGCTTTCCTCTTTAAAAACACAAAGGACTTTAAATGGACCGCGGCTGGCGATGACGCTTCACAAAGTGCCGGCTGCCGTCCTGTACCAAATGGAGCAAGAGCTCGACAAAGATGAGAAGGATACCATGGCGTTCCTCTGCCAGGATCTCGTGCCGGACTTACCCGCCCCGGATGTTAGGACGCTTTTGGTGGCTTTGGATGAGCGGGAACTGCTGACGTCCTCCACTCTGGCCGAGCTGTTGTACAGAATGAAGAGGTTCGACTTGCTAAAAAGGATCCTGGGAACCAGTCGAGCAGCAGTGGAAACCAGTTTGGCGAGAAATCCCCATCTGTTGACGCCTTACAGGTGAGTTCAGGGGATGGCTTTCCGGGCTTCTTTCTTAAAAGCCTTTCCTTTTACTCAGCACTGGGTACAAATTTTGGTCCAGCTCTGTTGTCTGTGAACGTCAGCATGTGTAGGCAGAGCAGGGTCCGCAGAGTCACAAGCTGGAAGATCTGAATAGATCCAGGTGAGTCGCTGCGTTGGCCTGAAGCAGCAGAACAAAGTTCGAGTCCGGCGGCACCTTTAAGACCCAACAAAGTTTTACACAAGATTTCGGGCATGCATACGAAATGTGCACAGATGTGCCTGCATATGAAGGCTCATACCCTTCAATAAAACTTCGTTAGTCTCAAAGGTGCCACTGGACTCAAACGTTGCGCCGGAAGATCTGACGTTCCCGTGCACTGACAAGGAGTGGCAGTCAGAACTGGGTTTGTGGGCTTAAATGTTATGCTAATCTGAGCAGATCACGTGTGCAGCTGGTGGCTTGCAGGAAGTGCTGAGCAGCTGCACTAGGGATCACATGCTTCTCTCGCCTAGTTCCACCCCCCACCCCCACCCCCCAAAAAAGTTCATTGTATTTTAGTTCCTTTTGGCATCAATGGGATTTGAGCTAGTCGTGCCCAACTGGTTCTGTTCAGTTCTATGGGACGGTACCGCAACCAGTTTTCTCTGGTTTAGGGTCTCTTTTTAAAGAAATATCTTATTTTATTTTATTTGACGGGACTTCTATCATGCCCTCCCCACATTGTTAGACTCAGGGCAGGTACCAACATATCGATCTGTAATGAGTGCAGATCCACAATTAAAACATATTGTAACAGTCCATTTAAAATCAGTAGAGTCACCAACACACTAAAACAGCAACGCGCCTCAACAGATAATATTGTGGGTCCAATCCGGTTTCCGGGGTCTGTGGTCCATGGAGGGGAGGCCAGATCAAAGTGGATGCCCGCTGCCTCAAACATAAGGCACCACTGGCTCTCCAGTCTGCCCCTAAGGGTTTTCCTTTACATCCCCCCTCCAGTCCCTGGGGCCTTGGAGTGAGGAGGCACCAGTTCGGAGCTTACCAGCTGCTGTCCTTTATACAGTTTATATCTCCGGTACCTGGCATTATGTTTATGGCACACATGGCCCGGCCTGACAAAATGACATTTATGTCAGATCCGGCCCTCGTAACAAATGAGTTTGACACCTCTGCTGTAGGTCCTACTGATGCTTCTTTTGGTCCTGCGTTACTTCAGAGCAGAGGTCGATTCAGGGGGGATCGCGGGGGATCGCAGTTCCCCCGGGTGAGGTGTGGGGGGCGGGGCACATGATGAAGCCCCGCCCCCCGCTTCTGGCTGCCCCGCTTCCGGCCCTCATTCAGCCAGGAGGAGGCAGGAGAAGAGGGAGGGTGCTTCCTCCCCGCCTGTCCCCACCCCGCCTGCCTGGGGCCAGGGAGGGCCTTGGCGGGGCTTCCTCGCACTCCCGCCGGCCTTGCAGGCCCACCACCGGGCCTTATGATGTCAGGGGGTGTGGCATAGGCTAATGAGTTATGCTAATGAGTTCCCCTAACTCTTTTTCTACGAAACGACCCCTGCTTCAGAGTCAGGAGACTTAAACTGTGCTCCTGAAACGGGTTGGGAGCTTTAGTAGGATGTCTTAAATACGCGTATGTCTGCCTCCATCAATGTATTCATTGAACCTCTGGACAGATCAACGGGTGAGTTTTCTGGGACTGTTCCTTTAAAAGGGAAACGGCAGCTCACAGGAGTTCCCCGCAGAATACTTTCAGTTGGCCACTTCCCTTTTCTCCTTATCAAGGTTCAGACATAATGACAAAGGATTTCAGACTTTTTGAAATGGGACGCAGTACTCAGTTCCCTGTACCTAATCTTCAGGACTCGCCTCTAAACTTACTTCAGTCTTTGGGGCCAGCTTGCAAAATCAGGCGATGCTGCTTTCTTCCTCCTGCAGGTGACACTGAACCAAGTGTGTATTTTATTGTTTTGGGTTTAATATTTCTAAATAGACAGAACTGAGCAACAAGAATTGTGCAGAACCACCCCAAAATCTGTTACGGGAGACTCCCAGAGCCGCCTCTCCCACCTCCCCCGGTTCCAGCTCCTCCCTTCTGGCCTCGTGACCCACCTATGAGAGAGTCGCCAACCCTATATGGATCTTGACCCACAGTTTTCAGAACTACTGGCCTAGGGGATCCTTGGGCTTGCGTACTTCCCCCCCCCCCCCAGGGCATCTTGCAGATTCAACATTTGCATTTTTTGCAGCAAATTGTAGTTTGGAGGGAAGAAAACAAACCACAGTTTGCTGTTTGGACAAAACAATTCAGTATCCTAAAACTGCCATTTAATCCTTCCACTGATTTCCTTGTCTGGAAGGAAGAGAACTAATCATCCCGTGTGACATTGACACAGCAGCAAACTGTGATTTGTAGATGTGGAATTATGCGGCTGTGTGTGTGAGAAGGGAAAGAAGAGGTCTAAAATCCGCCAGACTTTCCTAGAACGACAAGCTGTGTTTTGTCATTCCGTTGGGACAGCACCCTAACCCCCACGGTGTAGCTCTTTTTTCTCAGTCCTGCTTCCCAACTTCCAAACTGGAGTTTCCCCAAATGTCTGATAGCTTTGGGGAGCCCAAGACTTCCTTGCCCTCAAATGAGTATAGGCCTGGTGTTTCTGCATGAGTTAGTGATCTGGGCATGCCAAACCAAGTGGGATTGAATCAGCGGCTCATGCTGAGATGCAACAGGCAGCCTCCCTCCGAGGGAGACTAATTCTTCTGCTTCTCCACACGGAGAGCAGTTGAATACTCCAGCGTCATCGGATGCAGAGAGGTAGCAGAATCATCTTTTCCTTAGCAGAGGCTGCTTCGACAGGGGTAAGGCCAGAGCACGGAAGCACACAGAGGTGCAACAGGCAATCTTCTCTGGATGCCCTATGTATTGCTTTTGTCACACAATTTGAGAACTGCTGTTCTCTAAGCATGTGTGGTCAGGGAGTGCATGAGTTTTGTTCTTTTTTTTTAATGTACGTTAAGAAGTGAATATGAATTGAGATCCTGACGCTACTAGGCCAGTGTGTCAAAATTTTGCCAAAGGCTGATTTAAAAAAACGCTCACTGTCTTTGCAGGGTGCTGATGACTGAAATCAAAGAGAACCTGGACAAAGAAGACTTGGAGTCTTTCATTTTCCTTCTGTTGGACAATTCCGGCACTTCCTACATGAAGAAAGCGAAAGAGAAGGTAATGTTTTTCAAAGGGGATTTTCGCTCTCTGGGGCCTTCGCTCTCTTCAGGGGAACTGGAAGGAAGACAGGGAAGTGCAAACCTAGAGGAGGACAAGACAGATTCATTGAGTCAGGCAGATGAATCAAGATGGGCAGCTGCATTATTCTGTCGAAAAGAGGAAGTGTCCAGTGGCACCTTAAAGAGCAAGAGGGAACTCAGGCAGATCATGAGAGGGAGAGGGCAGGAAGGGTTGCCTCGGTGCTTAGTTCTCGTGGCCCTTTCTTACCCGCCCAGGGAAATACCGATCGCCACTTTGGGATCAGGAAGCAATTTTTCTCCAGGCCAGTTTGGCCCGGGGATCCTGGAGGTTCTTTGTCATATTCTGGGTGTGGAACAGGGGTCACCGGGGGTGTGTGGGGGGGAGGTATTTGTGGATTTCCTGCATTGTGCAGGGGGTTGGACTAGATGACCCTGGAGGTCCCTTCCAGCTCTGTGATTCTATGATTCTGTGAGTTCAGTGGCACCTTAAAGAGCAAGAGTCCATTGGCACCTTAAAGACTTAGAAGATTTGTGGCAGGGTATGAGGAGCATGCGCGAAGAGACTCGGAAGACTCTTACGTATAAGACAAAACCAATGCAGAAGGCAGTGAAGGAGGACACCGTTGTAAGAACAACTCTTGCGTCAGTGGTAAGGGGGAATGAAAGAGTGAGACAGGAAACGCCACTACATTGTGAACGCATGAACTGTGTGTGCGGGTTTGAAAAGGAAGGGCTGGGAGCCAGTTTCGTACAGTGGTTCGAGTGTCGGTCTAGGGTCTGAGAGACCTGGGTTCAAATTCTTGTTCTGCCATGATGTCCCCTGGACGACCCTGGGCCAGTCAACGAATGTCTGCCCTCCCACCCGCTGAGCTCATTGGACAAAGGGGGTGTGTGTGATTAACATACACTAAGTAGGCAAGTGCCCTGACCTGGATGGTCCCAGCTGGACTGATCTCGTCAGATCTCGGAAGCCACGCAGGCTTGGCCCTGGTCAGTATTTGGATGGGAGACCATCAAGGAAGTCCTGGGTCTCTACGCAGAGGCAGGCGATGGCAAAACCACCTCTGAACGTCTCCGGTCTTGAGAACCCTTGATAGCAAAAAAGAAAGAAAGAAAGGTAAATAAGTAGTGTAGATAGGCCCTGTAAATCCAGCATAGTCCCCCCTCTTTTGTCATGTTAAATGCAGCAAAGAGCACTTCTGCAAACAGTATCTTCCAATTTTAGTATATGTACTCCCGAAGCGAGCACAGCAAACAGTATCTGCTGTATACTGTGTTCAGACGGCAGTCCTTCTGTAGGTAGATGTTCTGGGTTGAGGCCTTGTAAGTCAGGCAGTGGGGAGGTGGGAATTCTCTCCTGGAGGTTCATCAGCACCAAGCAGCTTTCTGTGTTAACAGTAGTCTTTCAAATCCAATTTGGTATTGAGCCGTTAGTTGGTGGCGTGCCATCATAAGAGACAGTGGGAAGTTTTTAGGATTTTTTTAAAACTCAGAATTAACTTAAAAACGAGATATTTTTCTATGTTCTGTTCTTGTTGCTCTGAGCATCTAGAATGGGGACCTGTTCAAAATCCAGTGTAATTGACAAAAAACAGCAATGCTGGTCTTTTAATTCCCCCCCCCCCATGTCTTTGCAATTTCAAAATGTTTGCATAGTTTTTTGCGTAAACTTATGCTTAGTGATATGCAGACGATACCACTCTAATGGCAGAAAGTGAAGAGGACCTAAAGTGCCTCTTGCTCAGGGTAAAAGAGGAGAGCGCAAAAGTGGGCTTGAAGCTCAACATCAAAAAAACTAAGATCATGGCATCCGGCCCTATCACTCCTTGGCAACTAGAAGGGGAAGTCGTGGAAGTAGTGACAGACTTCACGTTCCTGGGATCCCAGATCACCGCAGACTGTGACTGCAGCCATGAAATTAAAAGATGCCTGCTCCTTGGGAGGAAAGCGATGGCGAACCTAAACAGCATGATAAAAAGTAGAGACATCACCCTGCCAACAAAAGTCCGCATGGTCAAAGCAATGGTATTCCCAGTAGTCATGTATGGCTGCGAGAGTTGGACTATAAGGAAGGCCGAGCGCCGAAGAATAGATTCTTTTGAACTATGGTGCTGGAGAAGACTGCAAGAAGATCAAATCAGTCAATCCTAAAAGAAATCAACCCTGACTGTTCCCTGGAAGGCCAGATAATGAAACTGAAGCTCAAATACTTTGGCCACCAAATGAGAAGGGAGCACTCACTGGAGAAGACCCTGATGCTGGGAAAGATTGAAGGTTAAAGAAGACGGGGACGGCAAAGGATGAGATGGTTAGACAGTGTCATCGATGCAACGAACATGAAGTTGAGCAAACTTCAGAGGACAGTGGAAGACAGGAGCGCCTGGCGTGACCTGGTCCATGGGGTCGCGAAGAGTCGGACTCGACTGTGCGACTGAACAACAACAACAAATGCTTAGTGAGATCTGCTCATGGGGAGCGGCCTTTGCAGAGGGGGAACCAGAGGTTTCCCGCTGCGACCCACTGAAGCCCCCAGAGTTTTGCTACAGGGTGGGGTCAGTAGACCCTCCGGAACATCATAGGGGGTAGACTGGGAGAGAGGTAAGGGAGAGCAGTGCTTCTGACAACAGAAATGCCCTTTTATCTTGGGGATTGAACTGTAATTCACAGAGACGTCTTTATTTGAATACCGAAAGTACAGATCTGTGTGTTCTTGAGTTTCAGGAAAGTGGGGTAGTTTGGCAATTATCAGTATTATTTTTTGTAAGGGAGAGGGAAATCCCTTTAATGATCTGTATTACTTGCCCTAAGCAACAGGGAAGTCCCTTCAATCCTTTTAATTTCCCCTGCGTTACACGTGATGGTATATTTTGACTTTTTCCTGACTTGACTAGTTTTGGATAAGAAATGCAAGTTATTTCTTGCCACTGGAAACATTTTTATGAGCCATTTTGTCTTAAACAAATAGCCCAAGTAGCATGACGTCAGCTTCTGGAGTCCGATTTCCCAACTGTTAGTTGCTTGGAATGAAGATAGTCTCAGGTGGGAATTAAGATAGTTTCAGGCAATGTTGTTGGTCTTTAAGGTGCTACTGGATGCGAATTATCATATGGCAGTGTGTCTACTTCAGCCAGAAGATCCAAAGATTGTCTGGCAGCCACAAGTTCTAGCTCTTTTAGCATTATGCACCACTAGGTGGTGAGCTAGACTTGTTTTTAAGGCAAGAGGTGTTCAGAGGTGGTTTGTTGCTATTGCTTGCCTCTATGTCACGACCCTGGTATTCCTCGGAGTATTCCCCTTCAAAATACTAGCCATGGCCAATGTTGCTTCGCTTCCAAGATCTGACAGGATCGGGCTAGCCTGCTCTGTCTAGGTCAGGGCTTAGAGTGATATATCTTGAACACATAAATATACTGAATCAGACCATTGGTCCACCATGGACTGTATTACCTACTCAGGGTCTCTTCAGGGTTTCAGGTGAAGGTCTTTTCCATCACCTCTGACCTGATCCTTTTCGTTGGAGACGCTAAGAATTGAACCTGGGACCTTCTGCGTGCCAAGCAGCTGCTCTGCCTCTGAGCCGCGGCCCCTCCCCTCGTCTGCAAGATGAGAGCCGAAACCCTTAGCTAAAAACCTCAGACTCAGACCTCTGCTGAGCGATTGTTGGTAGCCATGTGCTCAGGCCGCTCTGTCTTAGACTCCATTGCCCATCAGTAAAATGGAACATTAAACAAATACTTTGCAGGTTTCATGCAAGCTTAGGAATAGGCTTGCACACTGGAGGCCAGCGGACATTTATCTGCGGTGGAGTTTGTGGCTGTTCAGGACCACATCCGGGTAGTCAGGGACTCCCATGGCGACAGAAACACCCATGTCTGTGGGCCCCAAGAGGAATGGAAAAAATGCATAAACATGGGTTTTATTTATTTATTTATTTGGACTTTTAGGCAGCCCTTCCCTGTGAGCAGGGCTCAGGGCAGCTCACATCAGGATATCAAAATAAATCAAATAAATAAGTGCACTAAATAATACAGATTAAATAAAAACCATAATAAAAAGGTAAAGGTTCCCTTGCTCAAAAGCCAGTCGAATCCGACTCTAGGGTTGCGGTGCTCATCTCCGTTTCAAAGCCGAAGAGCCAGCGCTGTCCGAAGACGTTTCCGTGGTCATGTGGCCGGCATGATTAAACACCAAGGCGCACGGAACGCTGTTACCTTCCCACCGAAGTGGTCCCTATTTATCTACTTGCAATTTCTTGCTTTCGAACTGCTAGGTTGGCAGGAGCTGGAACTAGAGATGGGAGCTCACCCTGTCTTGCGGCACCCGGGTCTTGAACCGCTGAACTACTGACCTTCCACAGCCTGCAGTTCAGCGTCTTAACCACTTGAGCCACCGCAGCTCCATAAAACCGTAATAACCCCCCCCAAAAAATCAATAAATAAGTCTGTTCCAAGATGGCAGAATTTCAGGAAAAGAATTCAGCTTCCCCCGTAGCCTCCTCAGGGGGTAGGTTGAGGGGAGGTGGGAGGTATGAGGGTGCCAGAGCAATTGCTGTCCCATCGCTGTCCTCAGCCAAAAGCCTGGTGGGACATCTCTGCCTTACGAGCCCTGCGGAAAGGTAATAGATCTCGCAGGGCACGGATGTTCTCTGGCAGAGAGTTCCGCCAGGTGGGGGCCAGGGAAGAAAAAGCCCTGGTCCTGGTTGAGGACCACCGGATCTCTCTCGGGCCAGGGACCATCAGGAGGTTTTTACGGTCAGAGCGTAACGAGAGAGGTGGTCCTGAGGGCATGTGGGTCCCTGAGCGCTAAGGGGCCTAAAGGTCAAAGGATGGTTTGAAATCGTGTTGTCCCTCATCTAGTCCAAGTGGCCTGTCCGCGAGCTTCTCAAAGGTGTGTGTCGTTGGGGGGTCTGCTGTTGATAAAGTTTGTTCTGACTTTCCAGAGCTTCTTGGGAATTATAAATGACCTCGAGAAGTTAGACCTGGTGTCGCCCCACCAGTTGGACTTCCTAGAAAATTGCTTGGTGAACATTCACAGGAAGGACTTGGTAAAGAAGATCCAGAAGTACCGACTGGAAGGTAAGACGTGCTGTGGGCCATTCATTCCTCGCAAAGACGGGTCAGTCTTGGCTGCTGCGGGAGCCAAACCCGGGTCCCTCCCTTCCCGTGATCTCCACTGCGCATGCGTCCCCCAGCCCAAGCCATTGACTTCCTAAGGTCTTGCTGTTCCTTTGCTGTTCCTCCTGCCAAACCCGGGTTCCTCCATTCACACGCGCCATTTATTTATTTAACCTATTTATTTATTTTGGAGGGGCTCCCCCACAAAAAAATCTTGTCCCCCAAGCCAAAAAATCCTGACAACGGGCCGGCATAGCATAGATAGGGCGTACATGCAGGTTTCAGCGCCAGCCGGAGCCTGTGGGCTGGCGTGGAGAGGCTTGCTCTAACAGCCACTGTTGGTGGAACTTTCTGAGCACCCCTGTTCAATTTTCAGCTCCAGTTCACACCATCGGCTCTGTGCCTGTGTACATAAACGCGCTTCAGGCGTCGCTTCCCAAGCTCTCTCTTGCCGACCCTCCGAGGGTAAGTACAAAGGAAGCCGCTGCAGTCAAATGGAGGAAGGATCTTCCGAAGCAGGGAAAGCCAATGAAACGCTCGACGCGTTTTGCAAATTAACAATTCGGCCGCGTTAAGGATGCTTCACTGGGCTTGGCTTTATTAGTCTGCGGGTGCCCTGTTTAAGATTTGACTGTAAATTGTGGGAATGGTATAGAGTTTGCAGCTGTTCCCCAGTGATAAGGAGGTTGCTGTTGCAAGCGTTCCATGTGGGTTGATAGCTTGCCAGCAGTGGCTCTGAAGGACAATATGGGCACTGCATTGGCAAGGCTTTATCTTTCGGGTCGGGGAACAGAATGAATAGGTAGGTCCCAAACAGACTGTTCTTTTGATAAACCCTGCTGTCACGCGGGAAACCAGTTTCTAGCATGGGTGCCTCACGTAGCCCAGGCAGTGGGGGAAAAGGAGTCCCCATCTTTCTGATTTCTGTTAAGGGGATAGGCTTGTTGACAATATTCTCCTCCTTGTGTGTCTATTTCGGGGGTCCCCAACCTGTTTGCAGGCACCTTTGGAATTCTGACACAGGGCGGTGGGCACAATCAGAAAATGGCTGCTGCAGGAGGACCACCAACTGTCAAAGAGTGAAGTGATACATAAATGCAGGGCTATTTTTGGGCAGGAACGCACAGGAACGGAGTTCTGGCTGGCTCCCAAGTTGGCCACGCCCAGCAGGAACTCATTAGCATAATAGGCCACACCCAACAGCAGAAACTCATTAGGACTGGCTACATTAGGGGTGTGTGGCCTCACATGCAAAGGAGTTCCTGCTACAAAAAAGCCCTGGGTTTTGACAACAAACAAGCTAAACAGAATAACAAGCAAAAGGTGGGTGTGGCTGGATGACCACACTTCTGATAACATGGGGGTGTGGTCTAATGTGCTAATGAGCTGTGCTGTCAGGGGTGTGGCCCAATATGCTAATGAGTTCCTGCTGTTGGGTGTGGCCTATTATGCTAATGAGTTCCTGCTGGGCTTTTTCCACAAAAAGAGTCCTGCATAAATGTAATAGTAAAATTTGACATTTCAGCCAAAAAACTCTGTTGAACAGGATGCCTTTTAATCTGTGCAGCCAATTAGAAGCCCTCCTGGGTAGCCAATCAGAAGCCCCCATTCTAAAACCACTTGGTGGATCCCAAGAAGGGTCTTGACGGGCACCATGTTGGGGACCCCTGGTCTGCTTAGTGGTATTTTGAACTAATTTCTAGTGTCCATAATATATCCATAATTTCTAGTATCCATAGTATAGCTGATATAGATTCAATACCTCCAGAGGATAAATGAGGCAGTATTTGAAATGTCAATGTTGGGGCACTTTTTGCAAAAGGTGAAACAGAATTTGATTCTCTCCCCCCCCCCCTTTTGAATTTGCAGTTTGTGAACAAAGGAAGACTGCTAAATGGATCGGGAGCCATTCAGAGTAAGGCCGGCCAGTCCTTAGGAGTTGTGGCTTCTCTCATGTGACTGCTCACACCAAGGGTGTCAAACATAAGGCCCGGGGGCCGGAACCGGCCTGTCCAGGGCTCTTATACGGCCCGCGAGCAATTGATGCAAGGGGAGGGAGTGCTGGGTGGGAGTGGGTGGAGCCACTGCACTGTAGCTTCCGCATGGCAGAACAACCTCGTCTGCAGTAGTGAAGCTGCGTGGGAGCATCTGCCCAGCCCATGGGGCCTTGCAGTGAGGATGCACCAACTCGGAGCTTACCAGCTGCTGTCCTTTATACAGTTTATATCTCTGGCACCTGGTATTATGTTTTACGGCACACATGGCCCGCTCGACAAAGTGACATTTACGTCTGATCTGGCCCTCGTAACAAATGAGTTTGACACATCTAGCTTATACTTACCATCGATGAGCCTTACATAAAAGCAGTCCCCCGCAGCAGACCTGAATACTTTAGCCTCCTCCTGCCATACCTCTGTCTTACGCTGGTGAACTGGTCCTCTTTGTGTGTGAATGCATGCCTCTACGCCTCCCTCAATATGTTTGTTCATTTAGCTTCATCTCTACCCTGCCCTTCTCCCAGATTGGAACCCAAAGAAGCTAATGTTGTTCCCCTCTGTTTTATTCTCCACAACAACCCTGTGAGGTAGGTGAGGCTGAGCATATGTGACCGGCCCTAGGTCACCCAGCAAGCTTTCGTGGCAGAGTGAGGATTCGAACCTGGGTCTCCTAGATCCCAGTCTGACACTCTTAACCACTGAAATAGAGCCGGTTTGGTGTAGTGGCTAGGAGTGCGGACTCTGATCTGGAAGAACCGGGTTTGATTCCTCCACATGCAGCTGCTGGTGTGACCTTGGGTCAGTCACACAGTTGTCTCAGAGCTGTTCTCTCAAGGGCAGTCCCCGGGAGAGCTCTTTCAGCCCCACCTACCTCACAGGGTGTCTGTTGGGGAGAGGGGAAGGGAAAGGAGACTGTAAGCCGCTCTGAGACTCATTTGGGTAGCGAAGGACAGGGTATAAATCCAATCTATTCTGCTGCTGCTGCTGCATCACACTTGTGTATTTTCGGACGTATATAATCATCCACTGCTCCTGTGTACCCTTCTCCATGCACCTGACAGCCCCATCGGACTGAGATCAATAGAATCATGAGGGGATTCAGCTGGCTAATATGCTGCCAAGCTAATTAACTGAGTCTGTTTTAGTCTCTGAAATTTAGCAATTTGTGGCAATACAGTGGCACTGCAACTGACAATGCTCTATTTTGTCATTACAGAGGAACAGGTCCCCGTGTCAATACCAGAAAGCGGAACAGCCATGTCTCAGGTATTATGCACTGGAATCAGAAAGAATGCCCCTTGCTCCCACACTGACCCTTTTCTTCTAGGGCAGAACCTCTTCAAGGGCCCCCACGGTCCGTCTGTGCTTTTATAACTGTCAAACACGTTGCGGTGCGCCCAATTATAAAAGGGTTGGGCTGCCGCCTTAACATTCTTCTGTTTTTGCCTCGGCCTGTTCCTCTCCGCTTCAAATGCCAAATTTATTTACATAACTGTTTGGGAGATCTCCACACTCGTAGGCTGTGGGAGGTAAAATGCGCGGTTAGCAGATGTGTACAAATAAAACGGTACACAAGGACTAGTAACTTTGTGGAGTTCCTTTTTTAATAGCTTTTTAAATTATTGCTATTTTAAATTAAAATAGGGATACAGAAAAACAAGGGGAAAGGGGACATATAGATATAATGGATTATATTGGAGCACCAATATTTTTAATAACTGTATTATGTTGTATTATTGTATTTTTATACTGTTCTTACTGTTTTTAATCTGGCATTTATGCCCTTGTTAGCCGCCCTGAGCCTTTGGGGAGGGCGGGATACAAATCTAAAGAATAAATAAAATAAAATAAATAATAATCTATAACTTGTTCATGATGATCAGTATCAGAGTAAATATAGAGTATTTAACATAAATTTAACATCATATTCAGAAGGTTTTTACATACTATATACATTTATTATTAAAGCCTAGCATTTATTACCATTAGTTACTTTTAATATTCACTGTTAGACATTGATTAATACATTTCTTCAATTACATCTTAATACCACTACGGTTGTCATAATCAAACTATAATAAAAAATACATTTTAAAAGCGTTTCTAAAAACAAAAAGGATGACGATAAACTAGGTTCATATGTACATAAAAAACTATTTTATGGTCTTGAATATAGCATTTCAGAGAACACACACACATATATATATATAGTAATTTTAATACAAGTCACTCATTTTTTATTTTGACTTATAATAAGCATAGTAATTTCCCCATTTTCTTTCAAAATCTCTGACCGGTCTTTTATTTATATAGTTTGTTCATTTGGCCATGATCACATATTCTGCCATTCTATCTCTCCATTTTTCAAGGACTAGAAAAGGAGATTTCCAACCAAAAGTTTAGAATCGGTGCGGTCATCACTTTGTTGGCCAGCATTGCTCAGCCATGATCCTTTTGGGGCACATGGGTGCCCGTAGTACCGTGGAGGACCTTCCCCTGTCGTTCCAGTTTCCATGGAACTCTCTCCATGCAGTTCATACAGGCTCTCCCACCAAGCCACATCCCCTCCCTCCGTTAAATTTAAAATCCTGTTCTTCTCTTTGAATCCTTGCAGGTGCCTGACCACTACAGAATGCAGAGCCAGCCATTGGGGATATGCCTGATCATAGACTGCATTGGCAACGATACAGGTAAGTCCCAAGGAAAACCCCGTCATCCTTGCTGTCTCATTCGGCCGCATGCGTCATATTTCCACGCACCAAATTAGTTTGGCTTCCATTCCCAGCATCCCAGTATAGAATTGAGACTTGCTGCTTGCCAAGCAGAACCAGCTAAAAGTTCCAGGGAATGATTAGCCATCTGGCATTCTTCTAGCACAGGGGTCCCCGACGTGGGGCTCGTGGGCAACCTTGGTGCTCACCGACAACTTTCCAGGTGTTTTTAGAATGTGGGCGTGGGCAAGTGGTACTTTTTGCCCAGCAAGGGCTTCTGATGGGCCACTGGAGATCTGATTGTCTGTGCAGATTAAGATACATCCTGTTAAACAAACAAGTTGTGATTATGGCGACGCACAGAGGTCATTTCGGGGGGGAACGCAGTTCCCCCGGGTGAGGTGCTGGGGGGCGGGGCACATGACAAAGCCCCGCCCCCTGCTTCCGGCCGCCCCGCTTCCAGCCCTCATTCAGCCAGGAGGAGGCAGGAAAAGAGGGAGGGTAAGTTGCTTCCCCCCCACCTCTCCCCACCCCTGCCTGCCTGGGGCCAGGGAGGGCCTTGGCGGGGCTTCCTCACACTCCCGCTGGCCTTGCAGGTCCACCGCCGGGCCCCTGATGTCAGGGGGTGTGGCATATGCTAATGAGTTATGCTAATGAGTTCCCCTAGCTCTTTTTCTATGAAATGACCCCTGGCGACGCATAACCTCGCTCCCCGACATTTTGTGGTTGGCTCCGCCTCCTGTGGTAGCCATTTTGTGGTTACGCCCACCACCCTGTGCCAGAATTCCAAAGGTGCCCACAGGCTCAAAAAAAGTTGGGGACCCCGATCTGGCACCTTTAAATGGGAAATGGTAGGGCTGGGCTGGGCAGCCCCCTTAACAGTTGGACGGGGCTCTGGTGCTCCTTCCTGTTTGTCAAGTCGATCTTCTGTTCCATCGTGGACTGAAGATTTCCTACTGTGGAAATGATCGCCCTAAACAGGGCAAGGAACAGGGTACTACCTCTGTATAGCCAGTAGAACAAGGATCACCATGTGGGGCCCATGGGTGCCATGGTGCCTATCGACACCTTTTCTGGCACCCGCCATGTGTTTTTAGGAAGTGGGCAGGGCCAGGTAGGGCTTTTGTCCAGCGAGGATTCTGATTGGCTGTTGCAGATTTTTCAAAAATATTGCTTTGGCGGCAGCTTCCACCACAGGACAGGGATCCTTGTTATGTGACTGAAGTAAAGGTATAGCGATCATTTTGTGCCTGGCTCCGCCTCCTGTGGCAGCCATTTTGTGGGTGTGCCCACCATGCTCTGTCAGAATTCTGAAGGTGTCTGCAAGCTCAAAATAGGGATCCACTCGGTAGAACATTTGAGAAACCAGCCTCTGGTGGACTAGGGGATTTTGGGGGAGTTTTCACTGTTCTTGAGCTTCCTGAATGGCCATCAGTTATTTCTTTACTTTTAAAATCATCTTGCCTTACTTACAACCAAGATTGCTGAAATAGAGGCAGTTTGGTGTAGTGGTTAGGAACTTGGACTCTAAATGGGAGAACCGGGTTTCATGCCCCACACCTCCACACGCAGCTGCTAGTGTGACCTTGGGTCAGTCACAAGTTCTTTTGGAGCTGTTCTTTCAAGAGCAGTTCTCGGGAGAGCTCTCTCAGCCCCACCTACCTCACAGGCAATGCTCCCTCTAAGCTGTAGAGTCTTGTGAGCAAAAATTCTATTTTGTGAGCTACTGGCATTAAGTTGTGAGTGAGCGGTTTGGCTACTGCATAAATTAGTTTGCTGTTCCTGAGCTAAGACAAAAATGTGTGAGCCAGAGGCTAAAAAACTGTGAGCTAGCTCACACTAACTCAGCTTGGAGGGAACATTGCTCACAGGGTGTCTGTTGTGGGGAGGGGACGGGAAAGGAGATTGTAAACCACTCTGAGACTCCGAGTGAAGGGGAGGGTATAAATTTAATTTCTTCTTTTTCTCCTCCTTCTCTCCCCCCTCTCTCTTCTTGATATCCTACCCCCTTTTAAATCTGTGCACCTGGGAGAATCCAGAAGTCTAATCTAGGTTGGCAATTCTGAATCTAGAATTAGAGGTGAAGTAGTTTTCCCAGGTCAGTTAATTCCCCGGAATGAAATCTTCTCTTGCTTTTCTAGGCAAAAATCTACCATTCCTTTCCCCCTCTTCAATGTCCTCTGCCACTTCTTCTTTCAAGTTTCAAAGCAAGTATGTTTTTTAAAAATCCAACTCTGTTGAAGCTTAACCACCATTCAGGGTTTTTTGTGAGTTCTTTTTAAGGGGGAAAGGAAAAGAACCTCTTTCACTTCCCCTGGACTTTCTAAGCGTGTGGGCATCAAAATGCTGGGAGGAGAGAGTTCCAAACGACTCTCTCTTGTAAGCAAAACCAGAAGATCTCTTGAGGGCCCGAAACATGGCGACAGGGTACATAAGGGACTAAAAATAACCTGTGCGGAATTGAGTTCAGCCGGGGCCGATGGGAGCCGTAGGGAACAAGAGAGCAGAAGAAACAGGGAACAGTGTCTCTCCCCCCCCCCCCCCCCATTATTATTAGTCATGATGTCAAGGAGATGAGCCCGTTTTGCACAGAAGTTGCATGTCTCAGCACAAAGATTTCTGGCTTAAGCACTGTAAGGCGGCGAGATGCAGCAGCGGACTTAGAAACGAGCTTCTGATGCTGTGTAGGGTTTTGTCTTCTGTGGGGCTCACTTGCCCTCTGTAGTGAGTCAGAACAGCTTGCCCTCTGTGCAGGAAGGGAGTCGCTAGGAAAATGCCGGGCCCCTGTTTCGCATGTGTATTTGTGCAAGTGAACCAGAGCTTTTCTTCTGGGGGATGGAATCAGGGCCTCCAGAAAAGCTGCTACTGGACGCTTCGACTCTGCTGTGGCATCCCGTGGCATTTCCCACCAGTTCTTCTTCTTGGGGTTACTTGTTGAACGCAGGCGGATTCTGACCTGCAATGAGAAAGGTGTTCCTCTGCCCCCTGGTGGGCTAAAGCGTGTCACTGCAGATCTTTCCAACAGAACAAGGGGCCCGCTGTGTTCCCTCTCAGCTGAGTTAGTGTGAGCAACCTCAACAGTTTTTTAGCCTCTGGCTCACACATTTTTGTCTCCGCTCAGGAAGGATGGCTCCAGAGCAAACTAATTTGTGCGGCAGCCAAATTGCTCACTCACAACTTTAATGCCAAGTATCCCACAAAGTGAATTTTTACTCACAAGACTCCACAACTTAGAGGGAGCAATGTGTCGCATTTTTGTGTGTTTGTTTCATTGATTTTTTTTTTTTAAATGAACATTGCTTCTTGGATATGACTCACCCAGTCCTGTAGCTACGGTGGGGCATTTTGTGGCCACGCCCCCTTAAATAACAGCCATGCCCCACAAGTGTTTTTTAAATAATTAGCCTGGCGCTGCCCCAGCAACTAGCCTGCAGCCGGCTGCCTTGGTCGGGCGGCGGCGGCCTCACTGTGCCTGCGCCAGCCTAGCCATGTGACCCAGCTGCTGGGTTGGCTGGGCTGGTGCATGCTTCACAGATACTAGATGCTTTCAGTGTCAAGGTTGCGATGTTAATCTGAGTACACTTTATGCTGTATAAGACTAGTGAACATTTAAAGATATCT